TTTCTTAAACCATGGCAAAAACCAATAATTAGAAAGTATGCAACCTACCATAACCATCGTTATAGCTAGTATCCTAAGGGGTCGTTTGGATGGATCAATTGTAAAACGAGACAATTTGATCAATTGTTTCATTTTACAAAATGAGCCATTTTAAACGAGTCAATTCAGATTACCTGCCCCCACTCCAGACAATTGTAATTGGCTCAAAATGAGTCAATTCAGAATTCCCCAGCCCAAATTGCTTCATCCAAATTTTCTGCTGCCAAACGGATCAATCTAGCACAATTGACTCAAAACGAGACAATTGTATCAGATTGATCCATTAGAATTCCTCATCCAAACGATCCCTAAATCTAATTGACATGCAATAGTATCTCCTTGAAATTAACTCAAGGTTTAATTTAGACAATTAGTTTATCGCTCCAATGTATTTTACTTCATTTGAGATTTCATTTCACCGAAAACATTAACATGATTATATTCTTTCTAGACAATGTCTTTAGAAATTATAATTCACCAAGGGGAAGTAATATATTGATGGACTAGCTTCTGTGTTTATCATATTGCTAGTTTTTTTTTTAGGGAACTTCATATAGCTAGTTAGTAAATAGTAGTCAGTCAATTAAGTTTGGTTAGTCAAGTATGAAAAAATATGTTTCTCCATCTGATAAGAAAGAGTTAACCTCAATAATGTGAGTTGTTCCAGATATTGTCCATTATGGACTTTATATTACTCCTTAGTATGTCCCTTTAAATGAAAGTTGACGAGTTTGAAATTGTACAAGCATACCATACATTGAGTTTAAATCTCTCTCTAAAAAAATTGAGCTTAGATCAATTGTTAAAACTGGAAGTCGAGGAAATACGAACATGTCATAAATCGTTTGGTCGCAATATTTTGAATTGTTGGGAGATGTTTAATAATGAATCTTGTACCACATACTAACACGTCCCCTCAAACTCAAGCCATTCAATAAATTTCAAATTTTCTACAATTTGAATATGGAATTGTCAGGATTCAAACAGAAGACATCTGGTCACAAACGGCTCTGTTAAGAACCAATTTGTCTCAAATGTTCAAATTTTTTAGCTATAAATTGGCAGTAGAGAAGATGGTGGTCATAGTACTGTTCAAATTCCAGAGTCTCTCCCATGAAAGTCTTCTTTCTCGTTCATCTTTGAATGTAAGTGAGTAGTAGTTCTTGTAATTTCCCGTTATAGTAATTTTTGTAATCAAAATCTACACAAATTTAATTCAATCTGCCTCAAACACCTTCTATCTCTTGACATACCTGTGTGCTTTTCTTAACAGTATGATAAAAGAGGAGTATTTTCATAGTAAGACCTCAAAGAACCAAGGAGGAAACTCGAAGACACAAAAGAACCTCAACCTAATTATGGGTTCATTTACTCTATCCTTACATGAGTAAAGATTGTCAGTATATCCCAAATGCTTTCATTTAGAACATGGAACTTAGGGCTGGCTATTTGGTCAGGGTTTTTTATTTAACCGGAAATCGAACCACATAATCCAAACCATTTGAGATCGAGACCGAATGTTAAACAATCTAATCCGGTCTTTGATCACTTAAATAGTAAAAAATCCGAATTGATCTCGTCCATGTTAAAACCGTGTTAAAACTGGAAAACCAGATAATCTCTCAAACTCAACCCACTGACCAGTCCACTGGTCACTAGCCGGCCCTCTCCGAGACTTCTATGGAGCCCAAATTATTTGAATCCCAAAATTGAAAATTCCTTCAGCCAGCCCAAGTGCGGACAGAATGTGGCGTCTGGTGAATAAGAGTGAACATTTTTCCCCTAAACCCTAGACTCTTCCGCCACTACCAGTCCACAACGACATAGCCACTTCCAATCTCTCACTCAGCTGTGCAAAATCGTCGTCTGATTGGCGATTGCCCTGCCCGTCGCTTGATTCCCATTTCTGACCCTTCCTTTCTTCTTCCTCTCGTTGCTTTAGCTCCAGCTTGAGCTTTGATCATCCACAATCCACTCTTAGATCTTACCGTCGGTGTTGAACTCGCCCTCGCCGCTGTTGCCTATAGGGAGTAGGGAGATGTCAATATGGAGAGAACAGAGAGTTTGAGTTGGTGTCGACGAAGAGGAGGAGAGGTCAGAGGAGGGCATATGGAAGAATTGAAAAAGGCAGAACGGTAAGGAAACAATCTGAATCTGTTCGGTTTGCATGCAACAAGGGAGGATTTCCGAGGAGAAGGAGGGGAGGGATCGGACTACAGAAATGAGGGAGGGATTTCCAAAAAGATCAGACCCGGATTGGGTCAATCCGGACCGGACAGTATAGTCACTCCAATGCAACTGATAATGATCCTATTACTAAAATTTTAAGTATTATAATAGATAAATTATCCTCTTTGAATAATAAGATAGACAAGTTTTTCAACAACTTGGAAAAACCGACTCTTAGACATAATGAATTTGAAGACATGATTTTCAAGATTAAATCCACGTTGTGATTTGTTGCTAGTTCTCGAATTACATATGAATTTGAGAAGTTAAATAAAATTCGATGAGAACGTAACAATTCTTATGCTTCATAAAAGATCGTCCTTGAGTAGTTCCTGGTGAGGAGCAGCTCACAATAATAGTTGGTATCAAAGCCTTACATACAAGAAGAATTGTTTTGTTGAAGTTTGAATAGCATTTTGTGGGGAAAAAAAGTTACATGATTGTTTTGAAATTGGGATTACTCAATGACTAAAATCTAGCGTGATCGCCCAAAATCACTCTAATGACTAGTTTGGAAAACACTTTTAAACGGAGGTTGTGATTTGAATTTATCTTTTTAGCAATTATTTTTTTAAATAAGCCCATACCATCATAAAATCTCCCATAATATTAATATTTTAATCATTTAGTCTAGATAATTCTTCCTCTTCCATTCTATCGACCATTGTTTAATTTGTTCTTTCTTTTATTCTTCACTTTGGTGGTTGACAACCAGTGGCGGACCTAGGATTGTTGGAGAGGTGTGTCGCCGCTAACATAGAATAATAATTAAATAAAAAAATTAAGTAGAAATTAAAAGAAATTAATTTATGAAGTTCACAATGTCATTTTACAACGAATCACGACGACTTTTCATCTGCTGAAATGTCTCTAAAATACATTCATCACTTATGCTGCAAAGCAAATGTTTTTCAATATACACAACTTAACAATCATTTATAAACAATGATATTATACTCTAACCCCCAATGTGTGAACCGCAATCCCCAATTCACTAACCTAACATAAGATTCATTTAATCTTGAAAAATGAAAATCAATGATTCTGATTCGTCGAAATTATTGTTGAGTTTCATTTTAAGATTGACCAAATTTTGCCGTTTGGGTTAGAAAATTATTGATTGGGGTTCACCCATTAGAGGTTAGGATATAAGATCATGCCCCAAAGTCGGGTTAATTATTTATCTAAATAGCAAAACCCAATTGGCATACGGTGGTCGGACGTACGCTAGCCTGAACTTATATTTATATATTTTGATAACTTATGACAATAAATTTCCATAAACACAATGGAGTTGTGTCAGATGACACACCTCCCTTGTGCCTAGGTCCGCCCCTGTTGACAACCACCTACGAGATTTCTAGTGTTGTTGTTATGGGTGGATCACCTGAGCGCAATTGGAATTGTGTAGAGGAATTTTACGAAAAAAGTCTATGGCAAGGGATTTTTCGACCTATAGCAAGGGTTTTACCCTGCTACAAGTTGTAGCAAGAGTTTTTCTAATTTCTGGATGAACTCTCGCCAATCTTGTCCCTGCTACATGTAGCAAGGGATGTTAGCAACCCATGATGGAAGTCTCAACCACGTGTTATAGCAAGAATTTTAACCATTGCTAATGTACCAAGGATTTAAAATCTTGCTACACACGTTTATGTAAATTACAATGATTAAATGTCCAGGCATGGGTTGTAACCGTTGATGATTTGGTTGCTAAAACTAACAAGGGTCAAAATGTAGCTACAATGAGAAGATGTTTGTAGCAAGGGTTAAACCCCTTGCATAATTCGTCACTAAAGTTTAACCAACATTTTGTGTCGAATTCACAGTCACTAGAGTTGCATCCTAAAGAGAGTTGCCTCATTAGCAACGAAAATTTGGTTGCAAATACTGGTATTTCGGCCAGTATATTCAAATATTCTTGTCATTATATTGTTGATAGAACCATCATTAAAACTGCATGTAAAGAGAGATGCTCATTAGCAATGACATCTTCGTCGTAAATACTTATTAATAGGGGGTGTTCAAACGGATTGGTTACCATGCTAATCATACTGACCGGTAGCATTTGGTTAATTTGGATAATTGGTTTGGTTTGGTTAAACAATTTAGCTTATTTGGTTTAGGTGGTTTGGTTTGGTTTCAACACTGCTAACCAATGAAACCAATTAACCAATTAATGATACACCTAATATACATAATTATTTATACTTCCATGCAACCAACCAAACCAAACATTCGTGATTCGCTATTTTATTTCTATGTGCACAACAAACCAAAACATTATGAGTTAAAAATTAAATAGACCTGCCTATTTACTAAACCAAAACATTTTGGACGACTACCGAACTTTAGGATTACTTACAATACCATGACAGACACCTCGAACTATGTATAGTTTAAGTGTTTTGTAGGAGAGCTTTAACTTCCTGATGAGTGGTATTGGTATGTATTTATGTTAAGTGGTTTGTTGTAAGCTAACTATATTAGGTGCAGAGATGATGAATGATGTATTAACTCGAATGATGATGATAATCATGGATGGTTAGTCTTACTATTATTGCTTATATATAAAATGATAGTTTATATAGTAACAACAAATGGTTGTGTTTTATTCATTAACAAGATAATTGTTTTCATGTAATGTTATGTTATTTAGTTAATCCGATTATCCGATTAACCAAACCAATTAAACTTTGGTTTGGTTAATTTGGTTTTCGTGTTAATTTGGACGGTCTGGTTAAGACATTTTATTCCATGATTAATGAAATTTAAGCCTAATTGATTTGGTTATTACCACGGTAACCATTTGAACACCCTTGGTTGGTTCGACTCCCGACACAATCTATTAAATGTCGAAATATATAAACATTATACCACAAATTACAAAACCAACTGAAAGTACGTCCAATCTTTCATTTTCCGTTACAAGCTAGTTTTTTCTTCACTCGTAATCAGAACGAACAACAACCTGAACCTAACAAAGTAATGGAGAAAAACTCATTAATTACTACGAATCAACGGTTACATTACGGGAAACTCACAATGATTCATCATCTTCTTCTTCTTCTTCTTCTTCTTCTTCTTCTTCTTCTTCTTCTTCGCATTTGTGAGTAGGAGGAGGAGATCGGTAATATCTTCGAGCAATAAGGAAAGCACAGCACTCTATCCCCACCGCCGTGACGATGAAGCTATCCGCAGGCATCCAGCAAACAAGGCTCTGCATCAGCACGACAAACAGAGCATCCCAAACACCACCGTAAATCGCGGCGTAAACCTGAAAACTGACGGCGATCATCAAGCAGAAGAGCCAGTTCCAGATATCGTCGTCGTCGTTATAATCGTAGAAGTGTCTCAAGAGGAGGGCTACTTGCAAGCACGCGATCTCTAGCAGCAGGCGGCCGATGGGTTTGGCGGGTAAAAGAGGGCGAATGATCAGTTTACCGATCAGCGCGTATAGCGCAGCTGCTTCGGCAGCAATGTAGTCGATCGATTCCTCTATGTCATCGACCAATGTGTCGACGAAGGATGTGAAGGTGTCGGATTGGAAGAAGGCCACCATCTTCCTGTCGAGTGTGCTTTGCATGATTGATTGCGAAACTGAAACTCCAAACCTTAATTAATTGCATGCAGCCGATTTTGGGTAGCCAAACTGTAGTTTATATAGGACACCGATGGGACTCTGTTATTTATTTCGTTTCCGTTTCCGCTTTTGTTTCTGTTTCCCGGCGGCGGGGAGGAGAATTAAAAAAAAAAATGTACTGTAATTCTACAACTCTCTCTCTCTCTTACGTAAATAAAATTATCAACATGTACTAGCCGCTATTTTATCGCGCGGTAGAATTGTAGTAATATTTGAATTCCTACAAGTTAGTTTACAATGAGGAACCATAAAACTAACTTGCACCGATTAATTCTTTGTTAGAGCATTCACATCAATGTAATTGTAAAATCAGTTGTATTTGTGTTTTCTATTGGCATCTCAAATTTTTTTTTTCAATCCAACTGACATTAATTTTATTCACTTACATCAATACAATTAACTTGCAATTGCATATGTGGGTCCAACTTATTTTCTAACAGAATAAAATTTTATGTGTTTGTTATTTATATATAAATAAATTAAAAAAAAATGCTACGCGGAATTACAAATGAAATTTCAAGAAATGGGAATTACCCATTAACGATTAATTAATTACTAATACGAGTTAGGACTCCATTGGAATTTGTCTTTCTCCCCAAAAAAAAAAACAGAGTAAACATTTGGGCCGAACAATCAATCTCATGGGCCACTTGCTCGACAAGTGAAGCCCAGAAAGATCTTTCTCCGTGTCCCGTTGGCAAGCTCACCGCTGCCCACGTGGCATTGTCGCATCTACTAAAATAAACCCGGTCGAAAAAGCCTTGCCTGCCGCCCCCTAATCGCTCCTTCTCTCCTTCTTTATTCAATCGAAAGGGGGAAGAAATTTCACACGGCTTTTAGGGTTTTATCAGTTTCAGCAAATCAGGCGACGATGGCGAGAAGCAATCTCGCCCGCTTATTCTCCAACTTGCCCTCCTCCTCCTCCCCAGCAATCCCTGCCGCGGCGCCCCTCACCAGATCCGATTCGGCGATTAGCTCGCTCAGCAGACTCGTGAGCACGACGACGACGACGACTCAGCAATCCCGGGCGCGCGAGGAGGAACCGCCGAGCAAGAATCCGAATCCGGAGGCTGACAACGAGAAGGGATCGAAGGCGGAAGTAGAAGGAGAAGAGGGTGATGAAGATGGCGAGGACGAGCTTGACCTGAACAAAGATACGGGCGAGATCGGCGGGCCCAGGGGTCCCGAGCCGACTCGGTACGGCGATTGGGAGCGGAACGGCCGATGCTACGATTTCTGAGCCTCGATCTAGAACAGTCGGAATTTTAAATTTACCATTATATCCCTCCTCTTGTTGAGGTTATGTTTAGTCGAGGATTAGTCAGACTTTTTAAGTTTGATTTGAATAATTGGTGTTTGAGTTTAACTGTTAAAAGTGTTTATATATATAAAGTGGCGGGTTTGTCTTGCCCGCCGGCGGTGGCAGATTGCTTTTTTTTTATATTTCCTTTCAGTGTGGGCCTTTCCGTATTGTATTTGTGGGCTGAGCCCAAATTTGACCCGATGTGTTGAAGTTGGGCTCAGTAGGAAAACTCTAATATACGAGAATTTGACACTCGGTTTACATTAATCTAACTAGGAGTTTGTTACACTTATTATTTCTTCAAATTAGAATTGAGATTCAATTTCAATTGTTATTCGGTATTATGAATTATGAGATTGTGATTGGGATCGGTATATATCGAAATACCAAACAATAGCGAAATACAATATAGTGTGTATTTAATCCTCTCAACTCGACCCTCAATCACCAATCTCTTGTTAATTTTATAACACCAAAAAACAAACACTAATATTAGTCTTCTCTCAACCTCCAATTCGTCAAATTAAAGATTACCAATGGCCAATGACAAAAACTTGAGATGTCATCTCTGCTCCATTCTCCTTATCCATATCTTAGCACTAGCCAAACTTAAGACTCTTTACTTAGTCTTTTTGTCCTATATTAAACAATCAAATCTAATTTATATATTTAATTATTAATTGCAAAGGTAATTAATTTTGTATTCGATACTACCGATTGGGATACCAAAGTACCGACTGGGATACCAAAATTATTTAGGGATTGGGATTGAGATTGATTTTAGGATGTAATTCGATATTCGGGATTTCACTATTTGGTATTGGGATACCGATACCGTACCGATTTCCATTTTCCACCACTAAATCTAACCATCCTATCTGGCTATCTATGAGTGAGCAACAATACAATTCATATGGGATTGAGACTAGATTTTGATTGAACATTATTAAATCAAATGACACCAAATGAATTTGATCGACTTATAATCTTTATCTTTCCTTTGCTTTTGATTCGTTTGTAACTTTGTATCACGATCAATCTGAATTTGATCGAATTTTAATCTTTATCTTTTCTTTGATGTTAATTTCATTTGTATTCCGATTCGATCAACACCAAATATGAATTTGATCAAGTTCTAATCTTTATCTTTTCTTTGCTTTTGATTCATTTTTATCCTGCTTCGATCTAGTTCGGGGTCAAATCGACTAATGTGCACTTCTAATCATATCATTTTAAATTGGAGTAATCAAACACTTCATTTATCCACAGCTTATCCAAATCGCACGCAAATTCTTTGTAGATAGTGTAATAAATTACGACAGCTTGGAAATTCCAAGGCAATCAAACTAGGTGGAATAAGTCGAACAAAACAGCAAATGAGATGGTGACGGGGTAATGAAAGTCCGGTCTCGGAGCTTTTTAAAAATCCACGAAATTTCCCCATCGCTGTTTACTGTATTTAGTCTTGAGCTATTAGATGTACTAACCCTTGACTGGACTTCATATTACTAGTTAGTAAATAGCAGCCAGTCAATTAAGTTTGGTCACTCAACTATGCAAAATATCTTCCTCCATTTGACAAGAATCGGTTAAATGTTGATTATGGATTATATATCACTCTCTAAAATGTTCCTTCTAACAAAAGTCGGCCATAGGGGGTTGAAGTTGCACAAGCCTACCATACCTTGAGCTTAGATCATTTGTTAATATTGGAAATCGTGGAGATTCGAACATGTCATAAGCCGTCTGGTTCCAATAACCCCGGATGTTGAGAGATGTTTAATAATGAATCTTATACCACATACTAACATATCCTCTCAAACTCAAGTCACTCCATTGGTCTTGAAGTTTGCACAATTAGAAAATGGGATCGTAATGATTCGAACAGAAAATCTCTTATCACAGACGGCTCTATTATCATGTTAAGAACCAGTTGGTCTCTACTCTCAAGTGTTCAAATTGTTTAGCTATATATTGGCCGTAGAGAAGATAGTGGTCAAAGTGTTCAAATTCCATAGTCGTCTCTCCTTTGAAAGCCTTCTTTATCGTTTATCTTTAAATGTAAGCAGTAGTTCCTGTAATATTTCGTTGTAGTCGTTTTTTTTAATCAAAATCTACACGATTCGAATTCAATCTAAATATCAAATACATAACCGTCTTAATCCCACATTTGATTCGTTCTAACCAACAAATTTATAGTCCAACAATACCTTGACAATATGTTTTGATTCAGCTTGATATGTGAAGTTTCCAATACATCATGGTCCCATCCTAGCTAACATCAAACCAAATAAAGTATTCCTTTGAAATCTCTGCCCTCATCCCTAAAAAAAGGGTTACGTTAATGGAAATAGTGGGAACGGTTGACCATGTAAAGGAATCTACCAATGCTCTTAGTGCATCACCAAACCAAACTGACCAAGTCCCAAATGCTTCAAACCCATCATTACATATCACAATAGGTCAACTCCCCACAAACCATCTCCAGTCACTCAGTCTTTGTACATTGTAGCAGGAGTGTGCAACGATTCGGATTAAACTAGGTTGTATTTCTGAAATATAAACCGAACTCGCTATGAGCTTATCAATTTTCGGTTAACGGTTAAGTTTCGGTTATAACAGATCGAAAACATGCACCACTAATGAAAACCGAAACTTCCTACACCTCTCATCCTAATGTTTTCTCTTTCAGTTTCTTATATTTTTTTTTCCAGTTTAACCGAAACAACAAAGGTACAAATCGATTTACGATATAAAAAACCGATAAAATACTTATTCGATTTTGATTTAAACCGAAAATATTATATTCGATTCGATTTAATCTAATCCTGACCAAACCGTTCCACACGCCTATGGCAAATTTATATCATTCTATTCTTTTCCCTTGCACAAACGCACTCCTTCACTTTCTCAGTTTCTCTCTCTCTCTCTCTCTCTCTCTCTCTCTCTCTCAACAAAATGAAAAACGCCATGATCTTTTCCCTCTTCCTCCTAACCATCAACACGCTCGCCGCCGCGGTGGCAGCCGAGCAGCCGCACCGCCAGCAAGATCCGCCGCAGCCATCTCAATGCCCGAGCCAGACATCCTCCTCGTTCTGCGGCTCGACCGGGGTAACGGTACGGTTTCCCTTCTGGATCCGGTCCACCCAGCACCCGGACCGGTGCCGCGGCTACGAAGGGTTCGACCTCACCTGCGGTCCCAACGGCCAAACCCTCATCACCCTCTCCCTTGAAACGGCGCCGTTCGTGGTCCACGGAGTTGACTATTCAACTCAGGAGCTCTGGGTCAACGACCCGGGCGACTGCCTCCCCGGCCGGCTGCTCTCCCTGAACTTCTCGACCTCTTCGTCGCCGTCGCCGTTCAGGGGACTTTACGGCCAGACCTACACGTTCTTCAATTGCTCGGGGGATTACTCGAGCTACCCCGGGATGAACCCGATCGCGTGTCTCAGCGGCGGCGGATGGGGAAGAGGGGAGTACTCGGTGTTCGCGTCGTCGTCGGAGAGGGCGATCGCCGGGCTGAGGCGGCGGCCGTCGTGCCGGGTGGTGGCGGCGGTGGAGGTTCCCGTGGAGTGGCCTTTCTACGAGCAGGTGATGTCGTCGGATTTGAGCGCGGATCTCCGGCTGACGTGGGACTCGCCGGACTGCCGGCGGTGCGTGGTGCGCGGCGGGAGGTGCGGGTTGAAGGGGAGCGATGGTGGCATTGGCTGTTTCGACGTCACTCAAGGACGACGCGGTAATTCCTCTGTTTTGATTCAGTTTTTCCAAAGTTTTCGAACACCATATAAGATTTTTTACAAACACTTGGGTCAAATTGATATATGTTCGTCGACATAAATTTTGCATAGATCAATTTGATGTGGAGAATTTCGAATTGATTCGATTTAAAACAATTAAAATTTAAGATTTTTTACACACAATTGGGTCAAAATGATATGTTTGTTAACATAAATTTTGCATGGATCAATTTGATGTGGAGAATTTCGAATTGATTCGCTTTAAGACAATTAAAATTTTATAGAATGGAGGTAGATAATTCGAATTGACTCGTTTTGTAAATTAATCAAATGATCACATTTTTCATTTGATCCATCATCCATCCAGACGACCCCTATAATTCTTCCCCTACCAATTATCAAACGGGAAAACCTAACTGTTAGTTTCTTAATTGTTTAGGTTTAGACCAAAATTCTAACGGATTAATTTGACTCAATTCTCGATTTAAGATAATTGAGACAAATTGACATGTTTGGCATCATAAAGTTTGAATTGAACAATTTAGCCTCAATAATTTCGAATTGACTCGTTTGAAACAATTACAACTGTCTGATGTATGACAGATAATTCGAATGAACTCGTTTGGTAAAACAAAACAGTCGATCAAATTATTCCATATTCCAATTGATCCATCTAAACGATCTTTTATTATCTCTTTTTTTTCTTTCATTTTATTTTGGCTTATAATTTATTAAGAAGAAAAGCTAGGCAAATTTCGATATAACAATCATCCCAAAAGAGAAATATTGGACACATGCATCAAACAAGAATGTAAGTTAAGGGAAGTCATTGGTAAGATTACAATACCATAGCTAATACATCAACAATAATAATAAGCACATAAAGTAAGGTGAGCATTGTATTTGTATAATTCTTGTACCATTTTCCTATGTTCACCATATCTTTGTCATTAACGCTACCATTCGTATACTAAATCCAATATTGGAACCGTGTTCTTCCATATGTATGAATGTTCACGGCAACTTACAAGCCTTTTCTTTATTCTAACTTAGATAAACATATTCATCACATTGTTATTAAAAATTTGAATTAGAGAAGCATTAACAATTTAAAAGACTTAAATTGTTCATTTTGTGATTCTTCTCACATGAATAAACAACTTCATTATATTATTTAAAAACCAGAGATCACAATTTTGGACCTCACTCATTTTATTTGATATGTTTGACATGTATTAGGGTGGATATTATCCGCTCCATAAGTGGGACGGATATGGATACTAGCATCGAATTGATATGTTCTGACCTGTCTAATTCTTAACTCGTTTTTTACTAAATTACATGTAGTTTTATTCAAACCACATAGAATTTTATATTTATTATTTCATATTTTAGCTATAATGAATTTATAAATACGCCAGAACTTTAATTTCTCGAATAATTTAAATACATTTATCATATTAAAGATAATATTTTATATATTAATAATGTAAAAAAATAATATTTCTAATGTTTTTCTTTTAAATTAGATACACATATGAGTCTATCGGTCTCGGTTTGTGCCCAATAATAAATTAACCGACCTGATCCAACCTATCACGAGACATGTATAGATATTAAGATACCCGTCTCAAATCTGCCCATTGACATTCCTATAAAAACCACATAATTTGATACCACTTACCATAAACCAGATTTGAGCTACGAGAATTTGTCAATTGTCACATAAAGTAATAATTTAAAATGTACAGCAAGTTGTCTCTTCGGGTACATTCGATAAAATGTTCAATAACTTCAAGCTTAGCTTTTTTTTTCTTCTTCTTCTTCATTAAAAGAGTGCCCCTTTTGCTGAACTGCGTTACATGTCGAATTGGCAGGACTCCCCGCGCCGGCCCGTTACGCCATAACAATCGGCGTCGGAATCCCTCTCTTCCTCTTCAGCCTCGGCGCATTATGCTGCATCTGCCGCAGGGTCAAGCGTTGCGCCACCACTCCACCACCCACCTCCTCCTCCTCCGCCGCCGCCGACTACCAGCACAATCTCCGACAGCTCCACCTCTCCGTCGCCGCCGCCGCTCCGCCGACCCCCATATCATCCGGTCTGGACCGGAAAACGATCGAATCGTACCCTAAGATAGTGCTGGGAGAGAGCCGGCGGCTGCCGAAACCGGACGAGAACACGTGCGCCATTTGCTTGTCGGACTACTGCCCGAAAGAGACGCTCAAAACGATACCGGATTGCGGGCACTGCTTCCACGCGGAGTGTATCGACGAGTGGCTGAAACTGAAGGGGAATTGCCCCATCTGCCGGAATTCTCCCGAGCCGGTGGTCTCGTTCGCGGTTCCGGTTCAAGCTTGGTCTTAGTAGATAGATTGGGTGTATGTTTTAATGTCTCAATCTCTATTTCATCAATTGGTCTATGGACTATGATGTACTCCTTTATGTATATACTATCTAGCTTTTTATGGTCCGTCCTTAATCATAAAATTTCTTTTACTATTAAACCGCAATTCTCATTCTGCGACCATACTGAAATATGCCACTCATACAAGAAAAGAAACCAACTATAGAAAGAGGTAATACATCTTTTAGAAGATGTGTGGCAGTCCGATGGTAGGAAAAATCCTTCTTGAGTAGTAGCCATCAACAGCAACAAACCAATTCTGAACCCGCACCTCCCATCAGCAGATTAACTTGGTTGAAACAGGGGTCCTCTGTTATCATCGAGTACACCAACAGCATTTAGCAGCTGCAAATCGCTTTGATGCTGCCTAGGGTGTGAAATTGCTGATCAGTTGTCATCCTTCTTCTGGTGACCAGAGTGATCAACACCCTCAACAACTGGTTGACATTCTTCTGTCGGTCCAGCAGTCCACATCATAAATGAGACGAGTTGAGGTTAGAAACTAGACAACTGAAAGAAAAAAGAGAGGAAACAGCAGCCCCTGAGCATCACTTTGCTACAGTTCAGATTACAAGCTTGGGCGCAGTTGGGTTTGCAAACACAACAAAGTTCTCATGTGTATGTGTGCTGCTTAACATGACTGCTCTCCCATCCTGTTAAGGGACATAATGTGGTTGCAGCAAGGATGCTTCATTTCTAGGAGAAAACTTTCTTTCTAACTGAATTGTTCTCATTACTGAATTCCTAGAAACCTGAAAATTCTGACAAGTTTGAGTACTTACCAGTCGTGTTGAGGGAGAGAGCAGGTCGTAGCTTTGCTGCTATGTTGAACCCAACAGTTGTAGCTTCCATCGTACATACCTCGCAGTTTCTCATACCCTGGAATTGGAGTGGGCCAGCAATAGATCTTAGGCTGGAACACCATCCAAGTAGGTTGAGGGTTATCGAAGAACCCCAGCTCCCGGCTCCTCAAATTGAAGAACAATATATTCGGACCATTAAGTCCGCGATGTAGTAAGAAGACCATTTCTGGCTTCCCTGGATGCAAACCAAGTACAGTACAGTTCTTAACTTCATAGTTACACCTTGATGTCGACGTCGTCTTCAACAACCACCATTCATGTTGCTTCATCCAAGTTCTACGGTCATCTTTCAGTCTCAAAACATGCAAGACGGCAGGAAAAGCCACACCTTTAAGTACAACTAAGTAACAAGTACCTTGGGAGACAGAAATATTCCACTGCCACCCTAATAAGCGTTCAGAAATACGGAAACGAGCGGGTGGGACATCAAGGTGGAAAGGGTTAAGACCAAATAATACCACCCTGCCAGTATTAGAGCATCTACAACACCAAAACAGCTCCCCATTGCAGGAAATAACATTCTTGTGCACCAGTTGATGATCATCAAGAACAAGAGCCTCCTTGGTCCATTTTCCTGACTCTGAACAAAACACGTCTAGTTTTATAGACGTCATGTGTTGATACAAACACACCACCCGGAAACGATAATCAGAATAGAGAAATGTTTTCCCATTTCCTAGATCAAGATTGCAAGAACTACTACTACGGGGTTCACAGACTAACCTAGTGACCGATTTAGTAGAACCAATTGGCTTTTCTGGCGCTAGAGGAAGTGCGACCCATTGTTCTGTAAACGGATTACAGACAAAGAAAGACCTGACAAGTTCGCCACTAAAAAGGGATCCTGCAGACCCAATTAACTCCTCAAGCCCACATAGAATCAAGTCCTTGAAGGAATCAAAAACCAGGAAACGGAAATACCATCGGCGGCTAACTTCATCAGGCACAGGGAGAAATCTGAAAACATGATCCCGGGAGTAGGAGAACATCAGAGGTGGTTCACCTTCGCCTCCATTTATGCTCTGGTGGTGAGAAACGTAACGACGATTGAAGCAAGGATCGGATATAAGAGAGTTCCACTGCTTGCAGACAAGTTTGCAGCGGCAGGCCAGTTTCGGGTTTGGAAAGCTGCGAATTAGAATTTCTACTAGGAGATCGCCTCCTAGTTTGTTAATGGAAGGACAAGGTTTTGCTTCTGAGCCGATTAAACATCGTTTACTGGAGGAGCATGGGGGAACAAGTGTGCTTACCGGCACATCCACAGCCGAGTTGCAGTTCTCGGTCGCCATGGAAGGAAGTAAGGTAGATACTGACATCAGAGTAGGAGAAAGGATTAGGCCAGTAGCATAAGAGGTCGAAACTGGTGATTTATCTCCATCAAATTCCCACTGCAGCTCTTTAAACTCTTCAATTTGAGCATCAAGCACATCTCTTTCTTCTTTTAATTTCAGCATTTCCTCCCATTGAGCCTTAACCTCCTGAGCCAAAACTCGTTTCTCTTCCCACAAACCTAGCATATCGGCCTCAGCCTTGTAAAGCTCATCATCTGAGTTCGCCATCCTGAATGTTCTTCCTGTTATGCAATGGAAACCTATGAGAAATTTCTCAAAACAGCAAATCGCAGAGTCCCCATAACAAGCAGACCTAGAATGATGATGGCAGTAGAACTATCAGACTTCAGATGCCCATCCCATTAATTCACACACTCTTACACAATTAATTTGGTCACTCTCCTGAAGCCAAAAAAACTCAATAAAGAAAGAACATAACGAATCAAAACAAAACAATGGCATCACAGTTACTACGCATAGTATAGAACTCACTATCCAGATGAGCAAATCTTTCAAAGAAGAAACGATAAACAAGATGAAGAACCCCATCTCAAACCGGAACAAACTGGTGTGACTTGGATTGGGGTCCCATCCCAATGTTGAACAACTCAATCAAAGAAAGTTAGGTAAATTTGTTCGGCAGCGAGTTGATTGGTTTGAAGTTTAAACTGGTGGGGAAACCCTAAAAATCCATTGATTACATGGCTAATCAAGAATATGCAAGAGCTGCTAGTCTGCTGAGACATTCAACCTGAGTGGTGTCTCGCGTACCTCTAATCTCCGAGGAAGACGATTTCAGGAGCTCCAATGGCTACCACAACAGTACGGCAGGAGCGGGCGGATTATTGGAAATTTCGGTCTGAGAGAATAGCGGGAAGCCTCTGGGCTCGACGGCCGACGCAATTGAGACGAGGATGGTTTATATAGGTTAGGCTAGAGAGTGTGAGGATATCTGTCGATAATTTAGATTTTGTCCACTGGGCCGGAGGCCCAATTATCAGCAAACCGGCGGATTGTTCTTTGGTAGTCGTTGGGCCTCAATGTCGATAATAAGACTATAAATAGTGTGCATTTTGTAATCGCTTTTCAATTTCCTTGTTACCAAAAGGAAGAACGATCGCCACTTTTGTTTGAGACTGAAATTCGAAATGCCCACCACATGCTCGACGGTTTGCCGCTAAGAACAGCACAGTATTCCTTCAAGAACTTCATTCTTCAGAAATGGCTTCCAATTCCAGAGCAATCCGGCTCCCTTTCGCTACCCCTTCCATCTTCCCATCACCCGCCGAAGAAAACGGGTTAGGCGGCATCGAGAGACCTTCACCGTCTCCTTCTAGCATCTGAAGGACAGCCGTCATCGACGGACGATCCGCCGGGTACCACTGAATGCACCACAGGCCAGCAATGGTGAGCTTCCTCGCAATCTTGGCGTCTCCATCTTCCTCGATGCGAATCCGAAACTCTCCCCCTTTATCCAAATGCTCGTAAACCCATTCAGGGAAGTAGACCTGGCGGAGGCCGCCATTCACATCGGCTTCTTCGTTGTTCTTCCTCCCTCCAACCATCTCCAGCAGCAGCATACCGAAGCTGTACACGTCTGATTTGTACGAGACATTGCCGAAGTTTCTGGAGAAAACCTCCGGAGCTATGTATCCCATGGTCCCTCGAGCCGCGGTCATGGTGATGGCGCTCTGGTCCTTGGCGCAGAGCTTTGCCAGCCCGAAATCGGCTATTTTAGGGTTGAAATCGTGGTCGAGCAGGATATTGTGCGGCTTGATGTCGAAATGGAGGATTCTCTGGTCGCATCCTTGGTGCAGGTATTCAATCCCTTTCGCTATCCCTAGCGCGATTTCGAGCAGCCTCTCCCAGCCGAGGCTGTGGATGTGAGATCCATTACTGCCGTCTGTGGCAGAGAAGATGAACTTTTCCAGGGATTCGTTGGGGAGGAATTCATACACCAGAGCTCTTCTGAACCCGTCCGCGCAGAATCCGACCAACCGGATGACGTTGACATGGTGGATTCGTGCCATGGTTCCTACCTCGTTGATGAACTCGTCACCTTTCTTGGTCACAGTTGAGCTGGCGAGGATTTTGACAGCAACATGGATTTCCCTGGAGAGCCTGCCTTTGAACACTGTCCCGTAAGCTCCCTCCCCCAATTTATCCTTGAAAGTGTTTGTTATCCGCTTCAGATCAGCATATGAGTATCTTGCTGGCTTCATAGCTTTGTAATCTGCTAGGAACCTCTCTATCTTGGCCTGGTTTTCCATCTCGATTCTGTTTGAATGGTAGATGTAGAATGAGACACCAACCCCTACTAGTAGCAGAAAAACTCCAACAACAATCACTGCTATCATGATCTTCCTGCGGCCTATAAACAGTGGAATGGGAAGTGAGGGATATGAATAATGTTACCATCAGCTTACCCAAATTACTGGGTTAGAGAAATCAGAACAAAGGCTACTTCTCCTCAATCATACCTTGATTCCCCTTTGGCGGAACGTAGCATTCATATCCAATTGAGCTGTTCGTCGTCGATCTACACCTCTGGCCTTGAGCTTCACAAGCTCCACACCCTGGTTCTGTCCAGTTCAAATGCAGTGTTTTGAATGGGGGATTCACTACTTCGTCTGGAATCAATAAACTGGTGTACATCTTGGTGCAAGAAGACAGGGGCAAATTATTGATACTTATGAGACTATTGAAGGCATAAACATCGTAGAAGCGCGGAGTACTCAGGCAGGGTACTTGGTTGAACAAGTTTCTCTCCACAGCTGAACAGTTGAAGAAGACATACCCCACTCCAAAAGTGGACAACCCTTGGTATCGGAATGGAGACGTCGACAGGTTGAAGTTTCTAGCCTGTCTTGCAAGGCAGCCATTAGGGTCAACAGTTACGATGCTCTGGGATGTGTAGTCAATCTTCTGGATGTAAAGCTTCACTGAATTTGGAAGCTCGAGCACCGTCTGCTGCATCTCGTTGCAGGTTAAATCGAACCCGGGATAGCCACAGGTCGCCGGCTGCCTGTCTTTTAGCCTGAACGGGTATCTGATCTTCGGGCCATGGCGACCGCATCTTGTTTCCTGACAGTCGGTAAGTCCTCGCCCATGGTGGGCGAGTACTAGCACGAGCAGGCAAACAAAAGGAAGATGCTTCTTCAGGAGATTATCCATCTAAGAGCAACGGCAGATATGGGATTTCAGTCTCCTCTGAATTTTAGAAGAGATCTACATGTATGGCTGTGAAGAATTATCAGAAATGGCGGTAGTTCTGGATGAGGTTGCTACTTGCTAAGGTCAAATGAAGGCTCTGCAACTTTGGAAAAGTCATGGTCAACTTTCCGAACTAGGAAGTTAAAAGATGGGCCAAGTGTGGTTAGAAGTCAAAGAGTCTTTGAATCATCCTCTACAAAACAGCTAGAGGAAAAAGTGGGCTTCTTTGAGTCTGATGCCAAACTGAATTCGCACTTCCAGAAAGGTTGAGTCTACTTTCAGCACATTTGACTTGGTCCGTAAAGTTTGAAATCCAGGGCGGTCCCATTTGTTCATCTTTGACCATAGATGTTTCAGTTTTTGGATTTCACCTAACACCAATAGGATAAGGGTTGCTTGCTTTCTTTCTGTTCTTTCCCTTCATTTCACATCCAAAAGTGGGGAATATATGGAAATATGGCTGCGTTGAAGTTCTTCACGTTAACCGATCTCTCTGTTGTGCTGCTTTCAGTTCTTGTACTTCTTCAGATATGCAGCGCCCAGAACAGGCATCAATGCGCTCCTTCTTCCTGCGGCAACATCCCAATCAACTACCCTTTTCGGCTAAGAGTCGAGCCAGAGCACTGCGGCTATCCTCTTTACGAGCTGGTCTGCGAGAACACCAACGTCACAGTGCTATACATCTCCGAAGGCAAATACCAAGTTCAAGCAATTGACTACAACAACTTGACAATTCGACTCGTCGATGCCGCCGTGCAGAAGGACAACTGCTCTACAATCCCTCGTCACTCTCTGCTCAGACCCAACTTCACTGCTGCAAGTCCCTTCAACTGGATCGAGTCGTACAACGAACAACCCAGGGTGGCAACGTTTATGAAGTGCCTCAATCCTGTGAAGAAGAAAGATTTTCCTCGTTATGTGGACACTGCTCCTTGTGTGAATGGGACGCCCTATTCTTATGTGATGCTTGGAGGCGATTTGACGGATGTAGGGGATGCCTGCACGGTGGAGTTGATAGTTCCATCTTCACTGCCCATCAGGGGCGATATCGGCAATGTTTCGTTCCTCGACGTGCATAATGACTTGGTCGATGGGTTTGAGCTTGTTTGGTATCAAGTTACGTGTATAAGTTGCAGAGGGGCGGAAGTGTGCTATTTGCTTAGTGGGTCTACCCCAGATTGCTCTGCATCTACGGAGAGCTTCTTCTCGGGGATCGAGTACACTTTCAAATGTGAGTACAATTTCCCAGTTTTCTGGTGCTCTACTTAATCTCTACTGAAAAGCTAGAACTGTTCCCATTGACCTAAGTAGGAGGCCATCTACACTGACAATTTGTGCTAGCTAAGTGTAGAGGGTTAACACAAAAGGCTGCCTGTGTTTGTGAACTTATGAAGTAAAAATCTATGTAATGATTACCAGACGGAGATGCGAAAGGATTCGAAGAGAACATGATTATGCTAGACCGAAGAAACTCGCTGAAGCACTTAGTTTAAGTGGGATTAAGATAATTTCTTGATTGAATATGGCATCTTCATTGACATCTTATAACTCTCCTTGCCTTGCAGATCAGCGCTTGCTCATATTGCTGATTATTGGTAAGCAGTTAATTCCTTCTATTGCCTCTATCAATAGTTTATCAACTCGTTCACTTGGGGGAAACTGACAAGTTCTACCTGTAATTCTCTGCCTTCACAGGAGTAATAGTTGTGGCCAGATTGATATTCCTGGGCCCTTGTGTGTTGGGATTCGTGATTTTCAGATGGAGGAGGAGACACTTATCGATGTTCGAGGGCGTAGAAGAGTTCCTCCTGAGCCAGAACAACTTCACTCCAGTGAGATACTCTTACTCTGACATCAAGAAGATGACGAATAACTTCAGGGACAAACTAGGACAAGGAGGGTACGGGTCCGTCTACAAAGGCAAGCTCCGTAGTGGCCAGTTTGCTGCAATCAAGCTACTACTGAGCAACGACTCCAAAGGAAACGGACAAGATTTCATCAACGAAGTCGCCACCATAGGAAGGATCCACCACGTCAACGTGGTCCGCCTTGTAGGCTACTGTGCCGAGAGGTCGAAGCGGGCCCTCGTCTATGACTTCATGCCCAATGGCTCCCTCGACAAGTACACGTCTTCATATGGAGGAGCAGATGGGAATGTCGTTCTGTCCTGGAACCAGATGTTCAAGATTTGCTCGGGCGTCGCCAGAGGGATCGAGTACCTCCATCGTGGCTGCGATATGCAGATCCTGCATTTCGACATCAAGCCTCACAACATCCTCCTTGACGAAAATTTCATTCCAAAGGTCTCGGATTTCGGCTTGGCAAAGCTCCGTCCTGCAGCGAGCAACAACACCTTGTCACTCACTGCAGCCAGAGGAACCATCGGGTACAATTTGAAACAGAAGTCATCTTTTGTACTCGAATTAAGGATGGATTGCTGGTCTTGAACTTGTGAATTGTAGGTACATTGCACCGGAGTTGTTCTACAAGAACATTGGACGTGTCTCGTATAAGGCCGACGTGTACAGCTTCGGGATGTTGCTGATGGAGATGGCGGGAAAACGGAATGGTCCCACGAACCCTGTGGATTCGAGTGGGAGCTACTTTCCTAACTGGGTTTACAACCAAGTGGTTTCTGGAGAAGTGGAAAGCGGCGACACTACGACGACGACAACAACGGAAGACGAGAAGGTAGTGGCTAAGAAGATGGTGATGGTCGCATTGTGGTGCATACAGATGAAGCCAGAGAATAGGCCTTCGATGGGCAGAGTTGTGGAGATGCTTGAAGGTGAGTTGGAGACCCTGCCATTGCCTCCTAAGCCTGGTTTATATCCAGATGCAACGCCGGTGATCGGAGAAGAGGGTTACTCCGATGAATCGTCGTGGTCGTCTTCCCTGTACTCCGATGAAACGATCAGTTTGGTTACGAGTTCGGAGTGATGGCATTTGGGTGGCTTTGCTGGTTTTGTGTTGTTGTAAATGCTCTGAATAGAACTTCTGCTTTTGTTTTCCTTCACGCCATAGGAAAGAGATGTGTGCATAGTTTGTTAATTGGAGTTACTTGTATATTTTAGGGTTTCTTTTTCAAATTAGTATTCGACTTTGAAACTTGCAATTGTATATGGTTTATGTTTCATGTGAATTTGTAAGACTTTGATTTTCAATACATGGTGTAATTTCTATATTTTGTGTTTTATGTATTCCAATTCCTCTCCATAGAAAGGCTAGACTTATTTAACCACATCACAATTTCTTTACATATAAAAAATACTCTTCGCTTCGCAATAAAAATTTGCTCTTCGCTTATTTTATCTCTTCCAAAATGCTTACTTGTCTATATTAGATTAATATATGGTGTAATGGAGAAGAAAAATCGTGAATTTTTTTTTTTATGTTATTGTGGTCGTGAGATTATGTATGTTATTTCATTAATTTTCAAACATCAGACCGTGAAAAATTTTAGCATTTTCACAACTTGCTTTAGCCTCTAGGCTCATTTTCATTCTCACACCACAAATTAATTAGCTAAACTAGGAAAACACAAGGTCTCTATGCACCACGATTAAAAATACTTTTTGACGTTTAACATGGACTATGTCCTGTCTCTGTCCACACTCAACTCAACTTAACTAAGTAGTCCACAAATCACAATTAGGTTAATTAATTACCCCACTCACCAATTTTGGACGTCTAATTTGTTTCTTATGTTGAAATCTTTCTCGTCTTTACATTTCCCTACAATTACAACAACGTAGCGCTAAGGATAAACAAGGGAGGGATTAATTATCGTATATCCAAATAAATAATTAGAAACCCATATTAGGACGAAGAGGAATCACTACAATCAACCAAATAAAACCTACAACTGCAAAACCACTCGCTATATAATGACGCCGGAAACGCTAGATCTCATCGCCGGCCGAATTACATTTCTGATTTAAAGATCTCTATAACAAGTCACCCGAATTTCTCGAACAATTGGTCGCTCAGTTTCACTTTCCCCACCAAGTATATAGGATGGCTGGAGGAGACCACCCGACGGAAATCAGCCCGCTCATGATCGGAATCCTCGGGATGCTCGCCGGAGCAATCGCCGTCGCGACCTACCACTGCATCGCCGTCGGCTGCTACCAAATTCACCCACCCGATTCCCCGCAGAATGATGCGGCGGTGGGAGATCAAGAGAACGACGAAGAAGCGAGCCGGAGTCGGAGCACGGCGAGCAGCAACAGCAACTCGTCGGCGGCGCTGATTCCGGTGGTGAGGTACAGCAAAGAGCGGAGCCTGGAGGCGGCGGCGGCGGGCAGCACTACTGCTACCACGTGCTCGGTCTGCCTGTCGGATTTCACCGAAGGGGAACCGGTCCGGGCGCTTCCGGTTTGCTCGCACGTGTTCCACGTGGCGTGCATCGACAGGTGGCTTCTGTCGCACCCGAACTGCCCCGTCTGTCGGGCCAACACGCTGTCCGTCCCGCACGTGGCGCTGACCGTGCCGGACCGGGGAGGGGACGGGTTCGGACCGAGAGAGGGGAGTCGGGCTGCGGGGGGAAGATCGGTTGGTTATTTTGTTGCCTGATCAATTGGGTTCGAGCGGGAGCTAACATATCCTAATTGGGTACGTAGATGCAACTAATTGGTTTCTGGAAAAGCGAAAAGCAGAGGAACTACGACGACGGAAGATGAGAATGTGATGACCGTGGCATTGTGGCTTCATACAGATGAAGCTGAAGAATCTCGAAAATGTGATTTGGAGATCCTGTCTATGCCTCCCAAACCAGGTTTATCTCCAGATGCAACTCCGGAGAACACGGTTATTAAAATCAGTTCGGTCCGCCCAATCTCAAATCAGTTTGACCTAATTGATTCAATTTCGTCCAATTTTCACCATAACAATACTTTATTTATGCATATCGCTATAGTTTTCTATGAATTTTGTATCGTAATATCATAATCTTCTATTTTAGACAAATTGTATATGAAAAGCTATATGGTTATGTGTAATTGTATATGGTAGGGCATTGTTGTAGTCCGTCTTCAATATAATTACTAGCTTATAACTCGACCCGTTGGCCGAATAACATTATGCATGTTCATATTTGATTGTTTATATTTATTAGAAACACGGTCCATTAATGAAACAAATCATAGAATCCAACACTGGACCATAAGTGCATTCGATCTGGTGGGACCCGATGAAGTTCGTTCGAAATGTCCCATCATAACATTTTTCTTTTGAACTTGTATGATTGGTAGGATGAAGGTCTAAGACATATTAGATTCAATTCGATATGGTTTTGGTCAAAGCTGTGTTGCGTCTAGTGTGGTTTGAGGTTGACCATCGAAACTTGAGAGCAAATGACAAAATTAGAGTTACATCCAATATACTAATAGACTCGATCAAAGTAATGAGGCACAAAATTAGACACTCCTTATCTACAGGTTCAAGTAGTTTGAATAGTGAATCGACCTTAGCTTTAGTAAATCAATCAATGATTCCTCGTTTTAACATAAACATAGGTCGTGGTAGTTGCAACAACCATAACACCTAAAGATCCAATAGTTTCAACTCTCCGTTGTACAACCAACTTTTTATCCCTCCATCTTTAAGCTCTCGACGTATATGTTTTAAACCAAAATTCAAATTCTAATCCTCCTTCTGCAACTCCATTTATGCTACTTTGATGGACCTTCTCTCCATGAACCTGAATTTCTCTATCAATTGAGTTACTTGTCAGCTTGATCTCCAACTCCTCAATCTTCTTTCTTGTATATGGCCAACTCATCTTCCTCGGGGCAGTTTTAATAAGCTCGTAAAACCAACACTCATCTTCAATTCCATCAACATGCTCTTCTCCTCATTCTCTGCCTTCACCTGATCTAGTTCACTTTCATGCCCTTCAATACCCTTTCAATTTTCATTAATATCTTGATCATCTACAACTTCTCTCTCTTCAACTGCTCCGATTTGCTTCTATGTCTTTTAATACCCTCCTTAGTTCAATCACTACCCTGACCAACTTCCTCTTCACTGCCTTCACTTGCTGCAAACTACTTCCATGACTTTTTATACACCTTCCTCAAAATCACAATCAACTTACTAATATCAATCCATGGCCTTGAATCAGTTTTAAACTCTCTATGAACATCTCAATACCACAAAGTCTAAATCTAAATATTCTTTCACTTAATCATGAACTTGAGTTTATCAAAATCTAATCCACTCCTTCTGAGTTGGAATTCTCATCCCCCAAATTCATTTTTGGTTCATTTGGTCCCACATAACCATGATATTATACCTCTAACTAAAATAAATCAAAGCATTTTACGAAAAGAAACCGAACCATGAACTTTACCTACTACCAAATCCAAACACAATTTCTTCCTCTCACCACTTCCCTACCCAAACCAATATCAACTTTTACTCCAAGTTCACACCCCCAACTCCCAGTGTGTTGGGTGAAGCTTAATTTTAGCAATCATTATGCTTGCAATTAGATTAATGGACATCAGCAAGCGCCAAAATTCCACCAGACGATGAGTTGTCTTCACTTTGAGTTTTGTCATAAAACTGCTGGCCCGATATGTTTATCAGTTTGGAGGCCATATGATGAGCAATATCGAATCAGTTGCAGCGAAGTTACCGGTCACAGTAATGACAATGTGAAACATGTGTTAACAAACGCGAATATGGGTTACTTTTATGGATTGACATTAGAATGATGGGATTGGACAACAAGATCGTCCTTAGTTAAGCGACATGTAAATAGGTTCATTTGGTATGGAGGACACAAACCGTTAAAATTCTAAATTATTTGGGTGAGTTTGTATTTAGTGTTCTGAAAATCGTGGTATATGAGTTAGGTGATTAAAATATCTAAACCCAAACGAACTGATCCACCTACACCCCTAGGAAGAGTTTCAAAACTTAATATTTAACCGGACAATAAATGTTCAGAGAACCAGTCCCCTATAGTTTGCACAAAGATATGATTGTTTCACTGTAGTTCTGGAAATTAATGGTAATTTAAGAATTCTATATCGCTTCTACATATTCAATACTATAATTCGATATGAAATATTCAAACCAACAATATTTTGGTTGCAAATTTATGGTTATCGTCTATTTATAAGATAGATAAAATTTTAAATTAAATATTATACTATAATTAAAATAAAAAAGATCAAAATCAAAGTATCAAGACACCAAATAAGTACTTACGGAATATTTATTGGGCTAGCTAACTGTTGAAAAGTTCTGTGATTTCATATTTTAGCTTCGTATATATTTTTAATTTAAAAAAGTACAACAAATCTACATAGTCTGATTGATTTTAAACCTTCACTTTGTTTGAAGTGACCATGGTTCAAATCTCAATATATCTATCTTTTTCGGTAAATAAATAAAAAATACACATAATTGTGAAGACAAAAATGTCCTTCCTAATTTCCCTCTCGTTGCAGGAAATTTGAAAAGGGAGATTAAGTTTCAAATAATTAAATCATATACCCTAAATCAATAGAACTTAAACCTTAATATCACATATACTAAGAACATAATCAATGATCCTGATTCGCCAAGATGCATACAACATGCCATATGCACTATATTAGGATTTAGAGAATTATGATATAGGGTTTAGTTACGTGATTAATCTATGGTCTAGATAATGTTATTTAACTAAGGAGATGCAATAACCCTCAATCCATCGAGCATACCATATAATTTCCAATGCTATACACATACCATTGTTTGTTAAATTTAGCCAATGATAATTGGCTCATTTGTCAATGGTATTTAGTCTTTCAATTTTATGCTTATAATTGTCAACCATTAGGGAAATTGTTAGCCAATGATTTTTGGTCATTCACTTATAGCATTGAAAATGTCTCGTTACAAAACCATAGATCACAAATGTCACATTTTATGTTTTGAAATAAAATTTTGTATAACACTTTTGTAAACAATCATTGTATTCCTACAAACTACAAAGTCATGTAACCTAATAAATGTAAAAGTTGTAAAACATACATAAACTCAAAATGTACTATTTGATTCTTGGTGAAGAATTGTCTGATTAGAGGAACTCACTTAGTTGTTTCATAAAGTTGGGTATTATCATGATGATTCACTTTGTAAATAATTACAGTTATTAATTAATTCGATGATTGATTGTTGCGGTGGA